CTTTTAATTGGGGTGTCTGTCGAATATAGAGAAATGTTTAACGGGAATATAGAATGCCAACTGGCTACACTGCGTAATTAGCCAACCGTCATAGGTACCATAGACTCTGATTTTTAACTGTGCAAAATGCGGTTGACGACCCGGTGTACAATCCAGTGCCAAGGCAGTGCTGACGGGTCTAGTGGTATGCAATGTAAACTTCTGGATGATATCTGCTCAACGTCGCCTCAACCTCACTTTCGGTGTAAAGCCATTAACAATCGTCACTTAATGTGGTATGTCATTCAACACCATGGAAGCCAACAATAAATAGCATACCTAATCAGAAGTCTGTACAAAGAGACGAAATTTGCCGCCCGGTGAAGTGTTCTCTCATTTGTCGTTTAACGTCATAGCAGAAAACATTGTGCGGAAGAACATCTTACCAGATTGACCGTAATTCAGCGACGCAGTCGCAGAGAGCCGACTGTATTCCAAAGGGACATTGAATATGCTGGCCACTTTGTTGTCTACTGACATTCACTGAAACCGTGTACAACACTGTTATGGAAGTGAGAGAGATATTATGGAATGGTATAACGATGGACGAGGTGGACCATTTCAACTACCTGAAAACTATGGCGACTAACGATAAAGACATTGATTCTGAACAGAATCAGCATATCGGACCAGCATCAGCGAATTATGGAAAGACAGGACATGAAAAACGAATACGGAGGGTCATCCTCTTGACAACAGTCGCATTCGCGGTGCTCCTGTGAAGAAATTCGACTAGACAGCATCCAGCAATGCTGTCTGCGCAACATCCTTAAAGTGAAATGCTGTCATGGGGTCACAAACAAGCAACTACTGAGTACTACAGTCAGAGAAAACTATTAGATAAACTCAGACACTGGCACCTAGCTTGGTTTGATAAAACGGCCTAAAGAGAGAATGGAAATATGCATAAAACTTTTTTCTCTTAGGAAAAGTGCACTGGTTGCATAGGTGTGAGAGGACCATACAAAACGTGGACAGAACTTGTTGAAACAGACCTGCTTGCTTGCAAAAAGGAATACAACTGCAACTACATGAACGACTGTGATAAACAGGATGATCTGTGAGTACGGAGTTTTTTAGGAAAAGTGTAGTTCTGACCGTGTTCAAGATTACTCACTGAAGTGTATCGGTTCTACGGCGTTGCTTCAGATATTCATATCTTCTTCAGCATTTCTTTATTTCAAGCTTCAGCATTTTATTTCTTATTCTCTCAGAGAATTAATAAATAAATGTTATTTAATTAATAATTAATCATATCACTCTGCCATTCTGCATTAGCTAATTGTTTGAAACGAACTTTTACATGGTACAATTTGTCATCGTTAGGCGCTAACCGCAAACCGAGTTTCTTCTTTGCAATTCATATGATTTACCTTTGACTGGGTAAGGAATGACATGCTCAAACTCAGGCAAATGCCATGTCGAGAATGAAGGACCAGTTACAAAATTTTCCATGTATCGCTTCTCGCTTTCCACACAGGCGAGGTTACATTGCCGTTTTTCCAAGTTGTAGCTAGTCTCCTCCCAAAGACTGCGACAAACTGCCAAGCTTTGGTGAAACACAGTTTCTTCACGTATGTCAACGTTTATCTATCAGTAAAACAATATTTTGGAAACTTGTACGAAATAAACAAAATAAAATTAACAGATA